GTGAGAGCCCATGCCTGCCCAGGGGCTGCCACCACTTACAAGCCGTAACTCTTCAGGCCACTTGTGATGGGGTGAAGTTCCCATCTCACCTCTGGGCTTCACTGGGATGCTCCTGGAGCGCAGGAATGTGTTGCCCATGCCACTGTGGGGAGTCCTGCAGCCCTGCTGGGGCCCTGGGTGAGGCTTGTCAGAGCAGCCTGCGGAAAAGCAGCGAGGTGGAGGAATGAACTGATGGGTTCAATTAGAGAGACATTAATCTTTTAAAAAACAAAACAACAAGAAAATGGCTTGAACCTGCCAGACAGGAGACTGAGGTTAAGTATTAGGCAGAAGCTCTTCCCTGTGAGGGTGCTGAGGTGCTGGCACAGGGTGCCCAGAGAAGCTGTGGCTGCCCCATCCCTGGCAGGGTTCAAGGCCAGGGTGGGCAACGGGGCGGCCAGGCTGGACACAGGGGCTTGGAGCAACCTGCTCTAGTGGAAGGTGTCCCTGCCCGGGGCAGGGGGGTGGAGCTGGAGGAGCTTTGAGATCCCTTCCAACCCCAAACCATTTATGATTCCATAAAGAACTTGCTCTCCTCAAACAAGTTGGCTACTGCCAGAGTAACTAACGGTACAGTACAATCACCCCACCTTCAGAACCCCCCACCCTGCCTCTAAGATCGTGGACGTGCGGCTGTGATAGACCCAAACCCAGAATTCCTGCACACAGCAGAGCATTACCTGAGGTTTTGTTAGGTTCAGAACATCGTGTGGAGGTACCAGGCTCGAGCTCTGGGCTGGGAACAGTGGATCTGAAGCAGTGCTGCTGACGAGGTCGTCCAGCGCGTCAACCTGGCGCTTCAGGCTGTGAAGGGTGCCCTCGGTTTGCTGTTTTCCTCTGATTAATACTTCCACTTGCTTGGACATGCAGTGCCGGAGCCGAGCCTACAGCAATCATTACTTCTCTTTATACCCAGGCAGTGTAATTTTCAAGTCTGTATTTAAAAAGGCTGATGACCTTCAAGTTAAGCCCTCAGGGAGGTGGTGTTGGGAGTCCCAACCCATAAGCAGGTGGCAGGGGCGGGTTGCAAATTCACCTCCTCCCAAGTGAAGAAGAAGCCTTTGTCATTAACTGCCCAAAGAGAGAGCAACAGGTATGTTCTAGCTGAACTTGGCCACCCCCTGTACTTATATTGATTGTGGGTGCTCCTGAACTGTCATGAGCCCCATTGCCAATAGACCACAGCATGATGTAAATGAGGGAATCTTGTTGGAATACTCAAAAATCCAATTAACTGTTAATTAAAATTACTCCTCTTGCTACAGCATGCAGGTGCCAGGCTCTCTTGTACTGCTCCCACCCAGATGCACTCTACAGCTCATCAGGGGCCCAGAGTGGCTCTGCCAGTGTGGGAGAAGGATCCCCCACTGGGTCCTTCATGTGGGTTATGGGGCGACCCAAGGGAGGTGTTAGTGGGACAGAGAGGAGATGGGATGAGCCACCTTCAGCCGATCTTCGTGCTGCTGCAGTTTCTCTCTGAGAGCCTCCCCACGCCACTGTTCATCCTGTTGGAAAGAAAAGCGCATTCAGGAATGAGCACGACAGCTACAGGTACCACACAGCAGCAAGAGCTGCACACGGGCAGCAGCTACTTTCCAGAAGTGTTTTACCATTAAGAAGACTTTAGCAAGGTTCAACTTTTCTTCCAGTGAGAAGAGTCTCTTGTCAGCAGCAGCAAATGGATCCTCTGAGGTGTCAGATGCACGCTGCAGACTTCCCTCTGCTTCAGAAGATGCTTCTGAATTGTCCAATGGTTCTAGAGAAGATGGGCTTGAAGATTTAAACCCCGTCCTAATTTCATCTCCAACCTCCAGTTTAAGCAACGTTGCTGCATTCTCCATTTCCCTTTGTCTGTATTCCAGGTCATCTCGAGTTTTCACCTACATCACAGAACAGCGTCACCCTTGTGTTTTAAAGGATTAGAAACAATTTATAAAGGATTTATTGAAGGACAAGGAGTCAGATAACATTCAGTCACCTTTTTATACTAAAGCAAGTATCAAAAGAAGCAACTGCTGGCCCAGGCTGGCACTAACAAGTTGTTAAGTGCCACTGGGTAGCTCTGAACATTGGTGACATTTAGTGATTTGCGTAAGTGATGGCTCTAGTTATGCCAAGTTCCTATTAACCAAACCTTAATGGAAGCAGGAGCAGGAGTCCTAATTCTTGGCTGAAGCCAACTGTGATACAGCAGAGAAGAGGAGATTCAAAACCAGTACAGTATAAAC